ATCCACAGAACCAAAGCTCTTTGGGGTCCTTAATTCTTTTTGAGAGTATTAAGAAATCCTAGGACCAAAACGTTTATGAACTGTTACATTAAAGAATCATTTCTTTTGTTTAAGATTTGATCTTTTCTCAAAATGCAAGAAAGTTGGAATATAGCAGGAGAAAGAACTTGGATTTGGGGGGTTGGAAGCTATGGACTGGTAATCAGGGGCTGCCTCTAAGTATGAACTTAGGCAAGTCCATTAACTTCTGAGAGTCTGTTTCCTCTTCTCTAGACTTAGGGTAACACCTCAGTGGGTTATTTTGAGAATAAAGAAAAACATGTGAAAGCTCTAAGGATAGTGTGTCTCAGAACAGGTACGTGTTTGGCGTGCAAACATATTAAATTTCATTTTCAACTATACCTTGGTGTGAGTTTTAAAATCTGTTTTGAAACACCTTTTTTAAGGGTGGGGAGGGGAGATGTAGTAGTATGCAGTGGAAGTTTAATAACTTAACACTCTAGGGGAAAAGAGCCCTGTTTTTTTAGTATTTACTAATTTCCATGGCAGTTGGGAAGAGATGGACTCAAATCAGCTCTTGTGAGTGGGTGTAAGCCAGCTTCTGGGGCCTTTAGCAGGAATAGGAAGGAGACACATAAGGCAGAAAAGGAGTCTGGAGGCCTGAGGTCAAAATTTATGCCAATGTAGTATTTTGCCTTAAGTCAATCTTTTAACATCCACAGTTCCAAATTCTCTTTTTGGTTGGATTGAATCCTTGGGGTCACCAAGAGGGGACCACAAAGACATGTATATCTAACTTAGCAGCCACAGGTTCTCATAATTTTACCGGTGGAATAGCTACTTGGGGAGGCATGTTACCCACGGAAAGCCTGGTTAAAATGAGGGAGCATTGACTGGTTTAATACAGGTGTCACTTGGGAACAGATGTACTGCCTTGAAATGATGCTGCAGATGGTGGATCTCAAAGGGTACCTCTCCACCCCTGCCCCGGCCCAGCAGCACCGTCTCACCTGGAAATATGTTAG